CAAGTCACAAAATTCCAGTAAGAGTCATTCCACTTGGCAACTAGGTGAGAGTCTCAAGACACCATTAATAATAATAACAACTCAATAATCTTGGAGTTATATAAATTTTCAAAACAGCCTTCACTTTTATTTGATCATCCTCTCAACTCTTTGAGGTAGGTAGATTAACTGATCAAAGTTCTGAAAGTCAAACATAGCTTATTTAGATACAATGTGAATTAGTAGTGTTAATAATACATAATTAAGTCTTACAGATTCTAGCATGTTTTCTGCCAAGTCACAGTATCAGACTGAAAAAAAAGAATACCAAGGCTTGGTACTATTTAATTCAATAGGATTTACACAAGTAGCATGCTCCCCATATCTGTATTCAACAGGAAAGCTGGAAATGATTGTGCATAAGATGGATGACAGAATCAAAAGTAGAGAGCATCAAAAGGTTATAAACAAAAAGATGAATTTTAATCATGATGAATGCAAAATAGGTTGAAAATTATTGCTTAAGTATGTAAGAGGGAAAGCTTAGCTCGTGCCTGTCTTTAAAACTCGTGCCTGTCTTTAAAACTATTTGTCAGATGTCTGTTTCATGTAAGCTGCTATTCTAGAGCAGTAAACAGACACACTCTATCTTGAAATCACCCCCAATCTGAAGAAATATGACCGATACCTTCTGGCTCAGCAGCCACTTAGGTGTATAGTGTTAAGAAAAAGCTATGTCTGATAATGAACGTCAATAGCTTCCCAGGCTCAGGTGTAAGCGAAGCAGAAAGTGCTAAGGCAAGGAAATCTGTTTTAAGAACTCTGACACACTGGGGGAGGTTAGACAGAGGAAACAGGTTGGTCAGTGGTTTGGAATCCATATCCAATGAAGAATGACTATCGACCTGCGGGTGTTTAGATGAAAGGCTAAGGCCAGACAGGAAAGAGATCTTCAATGTTTTGAGGGCGATCATGGAGGGGGAGGGAGAATACTTGCCCTCTGGAACTCATTGCTCCAAATCAGTTCTAACTCACTGGTGGGGCAAGATAGTTTCTAGGATCTGGGACTGACCAACTTACATGATAGGTACTACGTTCCCTTGTTGGAGATACTCAAGATCTAGTTCAGATGAACATTCATCTGGGATGTTGGAAGAGATTCATTTATTGAATGATAATTATATCAGATGATGATAACCTTACTTACCAGAGTAAGGTTCAGTTAAAGAGATGAGTAACAAATATAAGTTCATGTAGCAAGGAGAGCTTAACCAGGATATAAAAAATAAAATCTTACAGGTACTTCCAGGTGGATGAGAATAGATTTGTTTACAATTTTATTAAGAAATAAGAAACACTATAAAATAATCCAACAGATTTTAGTATGAGTTATCTTTTTAAAAAATTTTAATTGATTTTTAAAAAATAAATGACAGCGGAATGCATTTCAATTCTTATTACACATATACACACAATTTTTCATATCTCTGGTTGTATATAAAGTGTGT